TTTGGTGGTTACGTTTGTTTTATAAATATTTAGTTATTTTATAAAGTAATTTTTATAATATTATTATTAACATTAATTAAATATAAAAAACCTATATCTATATATAAAATAGTGGATTTTTGAAACGTAAACCTTAAAATCTGATTTTAGAATTTGAATCTCTAAAAGTAGGGAATTTGGTAATTTTCACTAATAATTGTGGGCATATAGCCCAAATGAAACTTGAGCGCTTGTACAATGCTCAAGTTCAGGTTCCTTCCCACTCATTGCTTAGAGTTGCTAGTTCGAGTCCAGCTCATGTATGTATTGGGCCAATCCAGTTAGCATATATCGATTTGCCTATAAATTGTAACAGGACGAGTCCTCTCAAGTTTATATTCTTGCTTAATTGATGGAGGATCTTTGTAGAGAGTATTATTCTCAAGGCTTTTGAACCTGTCCTCTCTCTCCCGCATTGGCTCGAAAAATTGGCCTCGGTAGAGGAGCGACACTACGAGCATGTTTAAGCCCCAATTATTTATTTATTATTATTATTTATTATTTATTTTTTTTTACGAAAAATGTATTTTGAAATAGTGATTTGATAAAAAATGTGTGGTTGAAAAATAAGGAAAAATTTGGGCTTACATGTAATATTATTTAATTGAAGAATGTAGGTTGAAAATAAGATAGAAAAATGTATTCTGAAAATAGTTGGGACCAAACAAGGGATGTGTTCATTGTATTTAGAACACTACTGGCTCATATTTAAAATCTGTATTATACATTTGATGCGAATCAATTAGAAGAGAAAATCTTAAATTAATTAGAAAAGAGAAGAAATAAGAATGATTTACTAAATTTACATAACATTGGCTCAGGTGTCGAATGTACGTCCATGACTACAATTTGAAAGCATTTTTCGGTTTTGCACAATTTTGCTGGGTGACAATGGGCCTTTGGCCAATACTGTCAAACTTTCGAGGTCAAATTCCATAGTTTAGGGGTTTGTTTTAGCGTGAGTCTATTTTTAATTAATTTAAGGATATTTTCGTCTTTTTCAATTTTTAGTTTTTTTAAGGATAATTATATTCACACTATAATTTTTATTTTTTATACCGCATTTTAATAGCAGTTAAGCTCTTCAATCTTTGTTTATTGTAGCAATTATTTTCTTAACTTTTTTTTATTCGAATTCTTATATTCAACTTTTTATCAATTAGCATGTCTCATTTTTTATGATAATTTATATTAAAATATTTTGTTTTCATTGTTTGAATTAGGGAAATATATTACTTTTTATTAATTTATCTTTTAAAATAAGATAGAAAAATAAGTTATTTTACGCCATTTCAACGGACTTTTGGGTATAAAATTATTATCAAATACAAAATGTGTTAATTAATGAAAAAATTGAGGACAAGAATGATATGAAAAATTGTCAGGGATACAAGTATTATAATAAACAAAGATTAAGAAACTTAAATGCAATTAAAATGTGATGTATGAAATAAAAATTGTGGTGGCAATACAATCACCATATTTGAATTTATCTACAGAATTAGGATTTAATATGATTATGATTTATTTTGAGTCTATAAATACGTATAAGGTTGTAAAAACTTTACATTCATTTTTTTTATTAATTTAATATTTCAGTTCACGTTAATTGGTGGATTCCAATACTTTTCACGTTCGTTCGAAAAAATTTGAACAAATACTCGTTCGTGTATTATTAATAAGAACCTTTTATTATTATTATTATTATTATTCACATCTTTGTCATGCATCAACATTTTGAGTGTTCCACAATTGTATTATACATGTGATAGTTTATCAATTTGAATGATTTGAAATTTCATTCAAGTGTTAAATTTATTTATTAATTATTTTCTTTAAAAAAAATGATAATTATTATACATTGCTAGAAGTCATTTGGCGAAAAAGAATAACATATTGCTAGAAGATGTGATTATGGTTGTAGTAACATATTTGTGAATCCGTCGCTTATTTTTGTCGCTAAGCATATGAGAGAGGTAAATTTGCAATGACATGAAGAGTAAGGGTCGGAATCAATGTACCCAATTTGGCTCTTGAAAGGGCAGGGGAAAACCGAAGACATTATGATAGTGCAACATTGTAATATTTACAAATTTTCTTTAGATGAATCTTCGTACTCACAAAACCCAATTTGTTACATAGTATTTTCTTGCAAAATCAATGCTTGATATCAGATAACATGCATCTAGCATTCTTACTGTCAGGCCTCTCTTTTGGATTATCCAAGGTACAATAATAAGCAATTTTGAGAACTAAAAGAATCTGCTTCTCGTATCCATTTCCCATGAGTTGTGGATCTATTGCTCTTTTTGGATCCTCAGATCTCGTGATATTTCTCATCCACCCCACTAAATTCATCTCATCTGTGTGTTGAAAAAACTCGTCTGTTGGAAACTTACCCATCATTAGAACTCCTAGCAACACACCAAAGCTATATATGTCACACTTCTCGGTGAACTGAAATGTTTGGTAATATGTGGGGTCGAGGTACCCCACCGTCCCTACCACATTCGAAGTTGAAAAATGAGTGTTGGCTTCAGGGATTGCTTTTGAAAGCCCAAAATCAGCAATTCGAGTTTCCATTTCATCATCAAGAAGGACATTTGCAGGCTTGATGTCCCTGTGAATTATACGTGGGATATTATGCATATGCAGATACTCGAGGCCGACAGCTACTCCTAATGCGATTTTGTATGGTGCAAGCCAGTCTAATTCTCTTCTCCCTTGTGAGACCTGTTGGAGCACATCTTGTAGACTACCATTCTTCATGTATTCATACACCAGATAATGACAGTCAGGCCGTGGCACGTGGGCTAACAAAGGAAGTAGATTTCGGTGTCTGATTAGACCCACTGTCCGAATTTCTGATCTTATCTGTCTCATCCTCTGGTTCAAAGGCTTACTGTCTTCTTGGGAAAGCTCTTCAACGTTAAGGGGCAGAGTTATCTTCTTTATAGCAATTTCCATTCCATTTCTTCCGGGTAAATTTGCTTTATAAACTACTCCACATCCACCTCTTCCTATGATTTTGAGCAATGCTAGTCCACCCTCTTTCTCTAGGAAAGCTAGGTCCTTGGGATTCTTGATTAATAGACTGAAAATTGCCAAACTTTCGTTCTTCTCTCCTTTGATCAAGAACCTGATAAACTTGAGTCGGGAAATAACGAACCAAACAATACAGCCCACTAAAACTCCAACTAGAATGCCAAGAATCAATTGAACGGTATCACTATTGTGTTTCTTATGCTTATGCTGTGTTTCTGTGGACATATTAGCTTCAAAGTTAATACTACTAGAGACTTTACTTGAAGAATGTGCCATTGTAGTGGTTAGATTTTTGCCAATCGATTTTTCAGCAAGCATGTACCTTTTTGAAACATTGTCATCTTTGGTCGATTGTGAGGAGAAATAGGTTGCTTGATTCATTACTGGCACTGAACCTTCGAGTAAACAGTTGCCAGATATGTCAATGAATCTGAGATTCCCAAAAGATTCAAAGATGAAGGTACTTCTCCTGTGAACATATTATTTGCTAGGGAGAGTTTCTCCAGGTTGGGGAAATACTTCAAGAATTTCAGATTCCCAGAGAACTTATTAAATGAGAGATCAAGAACACGAAGGCTGGTTAGTGATGATAATCCGTATGGAAAATTGCTGGAAAATTGATTGTTTCTGATGTTTAGAATCTCGAGTTTTTTGCAACCAAAAATTTGAGCCGGGATTCGGCCAGCCAGTTTGTTGTTTGGAAGCGAAAGCTCTCTCAGCTCGGAGAGNCTAGTCCCCAGAGTTGTCTTCTCTAACACGGAGAGGTTCCCAACTGCAGAAGAAAGTCTTCCTTTGAGATTTTGGGACTCAAAGACCAGACGCGTAACTCTAAACACAGATAAATTGTTGGTGAATCTCTGTTCGCAGAATACTCCGGCCGAATTGCATGGACTTCCTGGAGGATGGCGATGACCTTGGATGCCCAAGTCTTTCTTGACAAATAAGAGGGCATCATGATCAAAAGGGTCAACGTCTAGTTTTGATTGAACAAGAAGGATTAGATTGAAGGGGAGGAGAAGGAGGAAGAGGTGGGAATTGGACGATATGAAAGCCATTCAATTTCAAGGTGGTGGTAGTGGTGGTGGCAGTGGTGATGCAACTTCAAGGATGCTTGGGAGTGGTGTTTGGTTGCGGGCCAGAGTTTGAAATGGTTTGTATTTGGGAACAATACATAAATTCTATATATAAGAATTACATTTCAAAAATAACGAATTTCAAAAATCAAGTGTTAAATCAATTAATTAAATATTNCTGAAATCAAGGATCAGTGTTGGTGCTGAGTGTAGATCCGTTGGAGATGCCGTTGTGATGTATTATTCTTCCTTCAAGTTCTGGTAAGGTAAAAACGCTACTATATGGTATTACGTTTTTCTTCACTTATTATTACAAATAGCTTATTTTCCTTTTTCTTCATATTAGTGCATTTTAGTCCTCAGACCCTTTCTTCTCGTCCAGTGCACTCTAGTCCCCAGAGTTGTCTTCTCTAACAGCCCCCTTCAAGCTGGAGATAGTCTCTGTAGATCCAAGCTTGCTTCGTAGATATAAGTGTCTAGAGTTCAGCAATGGTTTGGTTAAAATGTCAGCAACTTGATCCGTCGTCGGAACGTAGCAAATTGTGAGTTGTTTGGCTAACACCTTGTCACGAACAAAATGCACATCAAGCTCAATATGCTTAGTTCGTGCATGATATACAGGATTTGATGCGAGAGCGCTTGCACCTAGGTTATCACACCAGATTTTGGGAATTTCTGTCTGAGTGATGTTCAGTTCATGAAGAAGTGACTGAACCCAAACAATCTCTGCAGTGGTGTGTGCTAAGGTTCTGTATTCTGCCTCAGTGCTTGATCTTGCTACAACTTGCTGCTTCTTAGAACACCAGGAAATTAGATTTCCCCCAAGATATACGCAATATCCCACCGTAGATTTCCTATCATCTGGGCATGATGCCCAATCAGCATCGCCATAGGCAATGATGTTAAAATCTTGTGCTTCTTGAATTACCAGTCCTATATCGAGTGTTCCCTTAATATATCTGAATAATCGTTTCAATAGATTCCAATGTGCATCAGTTGGGTATTGGAGAAACTGACTGATTCTGTTTACTGCAAACGTGATGTCTGGCCTGGTGTGTGTTAGGTATTGAAGGGCTCCTACAGCACTTCTGAATAGTGTTGGATTTCCTAAACTTTGTCCCTCTGTTTTGGCAATCAATTTTCCGGCTGCCATTGGTGTAACACTGGGTTTTAGATTCTCAAAGCCAAACCTTTTTAGAGTATCAATAGCATATCTCCTCTGTGACATATGAAGGCCAGTTTCATCTCTGAAGAATTCAATACCCAAAAATTTTTTAAGACTACCCATATCCTTTAGTGCAAAAGTGGTATTCAACTTTTCAATGAGTTCATGTACCCTTACACTACAGTTTCCCGTTATTATGATATCATCGACATAGACAAGTAAGTAAATCATAGATTCTTGAGTCACCTGATAGAACACAGAGTTGTCAGCCTTTGATTGCAGAAATTCCCACTTCAATAGCGTTTCCTTCAACGTGTCATGCCAGGCCCTAGGAGCTTGTTTGAGCCCATAAAGGGCTTTGCTGAGTTTGCATACAAAGGATGGTTATCTCGATCAATGAACCCTTGAGGCTGTTCCATAAACACCGTTTCTTCCAGTTTCCCATTGAGAAAAGCATTGTTAATGTCTACTTGCCTTATTTCCCATCCTTTTGAAACGGCCAGTGTAAGGATGATCTTCAGAGTTGGAGCCTTAGCAACTGGACTAAATGTCTCATAATAGTCGATGCCTGATGTCTGTAGAAATCCTTTTGCAACTAGCCTAGCTTTGTGTCTCTGAATATTTCCATCAGTATCACGTTTTAGTTTATAAACCCATTTGCAGCCAATTATCTTCATTTCAGAGTCTGCTGGAACCAGTACCCATGTTTCATTTTTGATTAGTGCATCATATTCTTCCTTCATAGCTTTGCACCATTTTTCACTTTCCAAGGCTTCATAGATACTAATTGGTTCAGTCTCATCAACTGTGTTCGTGACAACATCTGCAAAGATCTTGGGTTTGAAAATTCCTGCCTTAGACCTTGTCACCATATGGTGATCTGCTATCTGACCACCTTCTGATATTAAAGGTTCATTTCTCAGTTCATTTATCTGATCATCTTCTGGCATTACAGACTCATTTCTCAAATCATTACCATCTCCTGAGACTTCAGAGTGACCATCAACATGAATATCATTTTGTTCCATCTCCTGTATCTGATTCATATCAGAACATTCATCATTTATCCTTACACCTTCACCCTCATTTTCATTCTGAGACACTTGTGCAGGTTCATCTGTAAAGTGCACTATCCCAGCTGATTCTGAATTTTCTTTGTGAGAATTTAATGGATTTGAGAATGAATTATGGGAGCTGATTTCAAAGGGTAGCTGATGAAGATTAGTAGGATAGAATTTGTCTTGAGATTTTTTGTTGAGGAATCCACTCTTGAATGGGAAAGAAAGTTCATCAAAGATAACATGTCTGGAGATAAAAACTCTACCACTAGGACTAAGACATTTGAACCCTTTGTGAGATATACTAGGTCCTAAATAGACACATTTCTGAGAATGGAAGTCAAATTTGTGCTTTTGGTAAGTCCTTAGACAAGGAAAGTAAGAGCATCCGAACACTTTGAGAAGTTGATGGTCAGTGTTGTGTTTAAAAAGAAGTTCATATGGTGATTTATGTTGAAGGGTTGGACTAGGCATTCTATTGATAAGGTATACTGCTGTTAAAAAAGCTTCCTACCAGTAATAAAGGGGCATATGTGCTTGGGATAGCAAGGTTAAACCGGTCTCCGTTATATGCCTATGTTTCCTCTCAGCTCTTCCATTTTGTGCAGACGTGTGTGGACATGAATACCTCAATTTAATCCCTGACTCAAAGGCTATCTTACTTAGACTTTTGTATTCTCCCCCCATATCAGACTGGATAACTTTAATCTTTCTTTCAAATTGGTTTTCAACAAGGTTCTTAAACTGTGTGAAGTAGTGAGTGACTTTAGATTTGTGCTTTAATGGGTAGATCCAGGTATACCTAGTACAATCATCTACAAAGATAACATAGTACTTAAAACCTGAGGTAGAGCAAGTGGGAGCTGGTCCCCAAACGTCAGTGTGGACAAGGTCAAGTGGCATTTTTGCGTGAGATGTAGATAGTTTGAATGGTAAGGCATGTGATTTGCCAAGTTGACATGCTTCACAGACTGGAATTTTTTTATTACTGATAGTTTTGAATTTATTACAAGCTTTCAGAAATTGAAATAACATAGGATTAGGGGGATGTCCTAGTCTTCTGTGCCAGATTTCAAGCTGTGATTCTGAAGCATTGTCTCTGAATTTTCTGGAATCAGATAAACTTGAGTTGAAGATGAACTGAGAGTTGTTTAGATGATGATGGCTGGTAGGACTTGTTTTTGGGATTCTTGTGTTGTGACTGGGAAGATTCAGCTGGTATAGTCCCCCTTTAAGCTTCCCCTACACTAGTGCCTTCCTTGTTGATAGATCCTTCACAACACAATCGTTAGGATAAAATTCAACTGAGACATTATTATCAGAAGTTAGTTTGGAGATACTTATAAGATTTTTACTGATTCTAGGTACGTGCAGGAGTCTTTTTAGAATGAGTGTTTTTCCAGTTTCAATATCAAACGTCTTAGAACCAACATGGGAAATTTGCAAAGCAGTACCATTACCTACAACCATTTTTTCCTTACCTCCATACTCTTTTGCTTCAGCAACATTATCCTTATCGGTGGTGACATGGTGACTGGCTCCAGAATCAGCATACCAGGCTTGATCTTCTGCTTGTCCTGGGTTTATAATATAGGCAGATGGATGAGAGTTAGACACTTGATCATTGGGCCTTTTTCCCATATATTTTTCATCAAATCTGTTAAAGCACCACGCAGCAGTGTGGTTACTCATTCCACATATCTGGCAAGGGTTTCTTCCTTCATATGATCTCCCAAACATGCCCCTGCCTCTTGTTCTTCCCCTTACATTTTGGCCCCTGAAACCTCTGTTTCCTCTTCCATTGTAGGAATTCATATTCTGATGATTGCCTTGAGTAAGATTAATTGAACCAAAATTGGTTCTAACTTGGTTAAGATACTCCAGTCTGCTTTCAAAGGTCATGAGTGTGGATGACAACTCATGCCAAGAGATATGATCTTTGCTATTAATCTGAACTACAATAGGAGTATATTCCTCATCGAGTCCAGCTAGAACTTGGGTTACCAAGTCACTGTGTTCAATCTTCTTTCCTGCTACCTCTAGATTATCAGTGAGTTGCTTCAAGGTGCTGAGATATTGATCCATGGACATGGATCCTTTTCTCATTCTCTGCAATTCAGACGTGAGAAAGGTCACTCTGGACCTATTGAGAATTCCATAGTTTTCATTTATGGCCCTCCAAAGCTCACTTGAGCTGCTACATCCCATAACACGCATCACAATTTCTGCTGTCATGGAGGAGTATAACCACCCCATTAGAAGTTGATCAACTGACATCCATCTTGAATACTCGGGGTTAGGGGCTGTGCTAACCGTGGTTCCAGCCTCAGTTGTGATCTGAATGTCAATGGTCTGGGAAGGGCACTCATTGATTCCCAGTAAGTATCCTTCCAAGCCATGACCTCTTACGATTGGCATGATAACATTTTTCCAAAGCAGAAAATTATCTCTGTCTAATTTAACACAGGCTGCCCGAGTCAAGTTTACTCCAAATGGGGTGAAATTGTTCCCAAGAGTTGAACCTTGAGTTGTTCGACTGAGATTTATGATGTCTGGGTTTGTCGAACTGGAGTCCGAAGCTGGGGGAAAAATATTGGCCATGGTTTTGACTCTGATACCAAGATAAAAAACAGAAAAATGGAGAATGAAGGTGGTGAAATTTTATATATCTTGAAGGATTGATTTTTCACTTTTTTATAGAAGTACCAGAGTGCTCCTATATATACTCTAAAGAGAATCAAATCAGTACAAAACAGTTACTAGTATTTACAACTAATTTTTGGTATGTGCTCCATTTGAGAAATCCCTGAAATCAAGGATCAGTGTTGGTGCTGAGTGTAGATTCTTTGGAGATGTCGTTGTGATGTTTTATTCTTCCTTCAAGTTCTGGTAAGGTGAAAAACGCTACTCTATGGTATTACGTTTTTCTTCACTTATTATTACAAATTGCTTATTTTCCTTTTTCTTCATATTAGTACATTTTAGTCCTCAGACCCTTTCTTCTCGTCCAGTGCACTCTAGTCCCCAGAGTTGTCTTCTCTAACACGGAGAGGTTCCCAACTGCAGAAGAAAGTCTTCCTTTGAGATTTTGGGACTCAAAGACCAGACGCGTAACTCTAAACACAGATAAATTGTTGGTGAATCTCTGTTCGCAGAATACTCCGGCCGAATTGCATGGACTTCCTGGAGGATGGCGATGACCTTGGATGCCCAAGTCTTTCTTGACAAATAAGAGGGCATCATGATCAAAAGGGTCAACGTCTAGTTTTGATTCAACAAGAAGGATTAGATTGAAGGGGAGGAGAAGGAGGAAGAGGTGGGAATTGGACGATACGAAAGCCATTCAATTTCAAGGTGGTGGTAGTGGTGGTGGCAGTGGTGATGCAACTTCAAGGATGCTTGGGAGTGGTGTTTGGTTGCGGGCCAGAGTTTGAAATGGTTTGTATTTGGGAACAATACATAAATTCTATATATAAGAATTACATTTCAAAAATAACGAATTTCAAAAATCAAGTGTTAAATCAATTAATTAAATATTTTTAATTATAATATAATACAATTACCCCAATTTATTAAATTTTAAATCCAAATCATTCTCTTTCTCTTTACTCTCTATCCTCTCCCTACCCTTATTCTCCATCGAAGGCGGCCATCTACTCCAGCAACAGTTCCGACAATCTCTTCGACGACCGCTCCGGCGACGATCACCCCGACGCTCTCTCCGGCGGCTATTCACGATCCATCTGGCAAACTGCTCCAATGACCACTCCAACGCATGCTCCGATCAACCTACCCACCCCATTCACCCATTCTCAACTTCCCAAAAAATTTCCAGAATTTCAAATCACAATCGGTTATAATTGGTTACAATTGGTCACAACGAGTCACAATTAAC